GAAGAAGACAGCATCAGCCTGTACTCCTCCAAACACCAAGTAATCTCTCCTCAACTGGGTCATTTCCCTTATTAATTCACCCTTTTACTCACTTACTTTATTATTATTGAACAGTATATGTCGTCTGATCACAGGAATTTGGGACCCCCTTTGTTATGTTTTTATTTTGAGAGTCATGAATGGCCTTGGAGTCCCATCCAATTCTGACACCAAATGAAGATCTAAACTCATAGAGCAGAAGAGCTCAGGTCCATTGAGAAACAGAGTTTAATCTTCTAATTATTTCGTTTAACTTATTGGTGTACTGCTCCCTTTAAGACATCACAGTGCTTGACTTCACTGTTATTCTCTGTGAAATAGCCTCTGCTTACCCTTCTCTGTTTAAGAATTTTCCTAACTCATCCGTGGGCTATTTCACCTGACTGCACTGTGAACTGGGGAGAGAGTGTGGATCTGTAGGAGTTTGATTCTCTCAAGAAAGGATATATGTTTGCCTGGAGTTTCTCTAAAGAAGGCAGGCAGCAACACAACCCTGTGGCCTATATGTAAATCATCTGACTTTCTCACCAATGTGGTTAAATCTTCTGATTTCTTACTCAGCAAGAGCTTGCTGAAAACTGACATTGTAGTTGCTGACTGGGATCGCAGCTCAACAAATTATTTCTAGCAGGTATGCAGTTGTTGTAAAAAAGGGTCAATCAAGGTCAGTATGATGGGCATTTGTCTGATAGCCTTAGGCGTTAATGGGCATTTTTGTTTTCTTTAAGGAGGAAAAAGAGACGAGGGGCTAAAGATCTGTGATCTATAATGTAACTTGAAATATTTTGGCTATTGGCTAACGTCATAGATGTTTCTTAATTTTTCCATCCATAAAGAAAATAACTGATAAAATTTATGCAAACTTAGCAGTCAGCCATTAATAGGTTTATTTCTGCTTTTTAAAATGTCTCTTGAAAGTCATTAGAGTGTTAATACATTCAAGAGGTAGCTGTATCCCATATTAACAATGTAAATATGTAAGCAAGCCCAAAAAGAGGAGAAGGGTGGAAGTTACCTAGGCAGATATGGCCATCTATAGGGAAGAAAGTCATACCATCTTTTCTATCACAAACTTTCTGAAGCTCTGGTTAATCTGTGAAACTGGATTAGCTGTTCTGCAGAAAGTTAGGAAGGTCTTTGGTTAAAGATAAGAGACACGTGAGTGGAAGCTCTTCACTCACTCCAAATATTTAAGAACTTCTGGCTAAAATATAATCAAAATGTTTTAAATATATAACTAAGCATGAAGTCAAGTAAAGGAAATTGCCAGTTCCAAAAGCAAAAAGATAACTTTCAAAGTCAGAGGTGAATAAGAATTGTACTGTGCATATGGTAAGATCTAAACTCACATTGTCTATAGAATGTGGACATCCAAGTTGTGATAGTAATGTTAAAAATTTATCTCAATCTTGATGTAAAAAGAAATTATATAAGTTTACTAAAAGATAGGTAAAAAAGACCCCAAGTGAAAAAAAGGTCATGTTCAAGGATAAAAAGACCCAATATCATGAAGATCAATTTGTCCCAAGTTTACCTATCATTTCAATCAGAATCTCAATAGAAATATTTTATGGATTTTATGCAGACAAATCCTAGCTGCTTATAAAGTGTATATGGAAGGGCAAAGAACCAGAAAGAGGAAAGAGAATCTTGAAGAAGGAGGAGGGAAGGTACTTGCTCGCAGATAGCAAGAACTTACTATAAAGCCCCAGCAGTTAAGCCACAGGGGAGGGGAGGATGTATGAGAAATAAACAGAGAGACCAATGCAATGGAAAAAAGCTTAGACATAAACTCACCATATGGGAAAAAATTGATTCGTAACAGAGCAGCCATTATAGAACAGTAAGGAAAGGAATGGAGTGCTCAAAAATGGAGCTGGGACAATAATCACCCCCCACCCTGCCCAAAAAAAGGAAAGAAAAATTGGATTTCTATCCCATGCTACATACACAAATCAGTTCTACATAGATTAAATGAAAGTTTAAAAATGACAAAACTTTGAAATGTTATTAAAAATATAGACCATTTGTATGACTCAAGAAAAATTATCATAAGTAACAAAATGCTCAAAAAACAGTATAAAATATTCATACATTTGAATACATGAAATTTTAAACTTTTGTTCATTATAACATGTAATTAGGAGAGTAAAATATAAACTGAGAGAAGATATTTGAAATAAACATAAAACCAAGGATTAGTATTTCAAATATATAAAGAATCTCTCTGAATTAACATGAAAAAGACAACACAGTAGAAAGAAGGGCAACAAGTTATGAATGTAATTTAATAGGAGGAAACAAAAATGGCTAATAAGCACATACAGAGAGCATTAGCACTGGAGTCATTAAGGCCATTGACAGATACTCCAGTTCTCCTTTCTCTGCTCACATGGTAGGATTGCACTTCACTGATTAGACATGTGACTTGCTTTCACCAGTAACATGTGAATGGAAGCTTGATACTTTCTAAACAGTTGCTGCCACTCAACTCTCCTCTTTTATTGACTGACAATGGGACAAAATTCTATACCCACCCAATGGTACAGCAAGTGATGATGTTCCAGACACTGGAGACTTGCTCTGTCAGCCTCCATCCCTGAGTGAAAAGACACAGAACTGAGCCATCAACCAATTAATGATGAAATAATGATGTGTAAGAAGCATACCTTTGCTGTTAGAAATTACGATTATTGGAAGGTTGTTTCCATAGTAACCTAGATCAATAGCTCTCCGAAGTTTAGAATCATCTGGAGAACTTTAAAAACAAAAACCCCAATGCCAAAGTTGAATTCCAGATCAATTAATCTGGTGGAACAAGACTCATCAGTAATTTTTTAGGCTCCCCAGCTGGTTCTGATGTGCAGCCAAGGCTGAGAATCAAGAAACTGACCAGCCTGAAGGAGGCTATAAAAAGGGAACATTCAGACAACAAATAGAAGCTCTTAAAAATTTAAGGTGCAGCAGCAGAAATAAAAAACTCAGTAGAGGGGCTAGAAGATAAAGTTGATGAAAGTTTCCAAAGAGTAGAATAAGAAGACAAAGAGTTTAAAAAGGGAAGAGAGAAAAATAAAAAATTTAGAAGACCAGTCCAGGAAATCCTAAATCTGAGAAAGAAAAAGAAAAAGAGAGTTCCAGAAAGATAGAAGAGAGAAATAGGATGAGGACTAAATAGTCAAAGAAATCATGTAAAATTATTCCTCTAAACTGAAAGACATGAGTTAACAGACTGAAAGGCCCACTGAGTGCCCAGGAAGAGATGAAACTAGACTCAGTGAATGGAGACACAAAGGTCTAACAAGTTTCCAGGGAGAGAGGAAAAAAATCACATATGAAGGATAAGAAATTAGAATCTGTTCAGCTATAGACAGTGGAACAATGCCTCCATAACTGTGGAACAGAATTAACATACCCAACTTTGTATTCTCCTCCCAGCAAAATTATCAATCAAGTGTGAAGGTAAAATAAAGATGTTTTTAATACATACATGGTCTCAAAAATTTTTCTTCTAAGAACTCTTTCTCAAAAAACTGCGGACATCATGGTGACTACAGTTAATAACAAAGTATTGTATATTTAAAAATTGCTAAAAGAGTAGATTTTAAGTGTTCTCACCACAAAGAAAAAGCATGTGAAGTAATACATATGTTACATAGCTTTACTTAGCCATTCTACAATGTATACATATGTGGAACATTTGTATACATTTATGGTGTACAACACAGAACATTTGTATACAACATGGAACATTTGGAACATTTGCATACATTTATGGTGTACATGATGTTTTGATGTGACACGTGACATCAAAACATCATGTTGTACAGCATAAATGTATACAAATTTTACTTGTCAGTTAAAAAAATAAACTTAAAAGTGAAGCAACTGGAGGATAGGATCCACCAAAACAAGGGCATAAATGAAGAGAAAAGACGATGAAGGATTCAACTCGAGACAAGGAGAGGCGTTCCCAGTATAAGGATGAAGGGAGAATCCAGGGGAAGGCTGATTAGAAGGGCCCAGGCAAGTCCTCTGGGAAGGTGAAGATTGATGGAATATGTGATGTGTTTGAACATCCTGAGAGAAGATTTAAACAACTGTCAGAGGGTTCAGATTAAATTAACCATAGAGTCGTAAAAAACTAAACAATTGTGATAGACAATTGTGAAAAACAACTTTTTAAAAATGTTATCTTGTAATTGACAAATAATAATTGTGTATATTTATGAGATACAATGTGATGTTTTAGTACATGTATAAACTGTGGAATGATAAAATCAGGCTAATTAGCATATCCATCACCTCAAATATTTTTCATTTCTTTGTGGCATGAACATTCAGAATTCTCTCTTCTAGCTAATTTTGAAATACCATCTTGTGTTACTTAACTACAAGGATACATTCTGAGAAATGCATCTTTAGGTAATTGCATTGTTGTGCAAACATCATAGAGTGACTTACACAAATTTAGAAGGTATAGCCTACCACATACCTGGGCTATTGGGATAGCCTATTGCTCCTAGGCTACAAACTTGTGCAGCATGTTGCCGTACTGAATACTGTAGGCGACTGTAGCAAGATGGTAAGTGTTCGTCTCTCTAAATGTATCTAAACATAGACAAGATACAGTGAAAATATGGTATTATAATTTTATGGGACCATGGTGGTACATGTGGTCTATCATTGACTAAAACATCATTATGCAACACGTGACTGTATACAATATATTATACGTTATTGTTAACTTGTCATCATGCTGTGCAATAGGACACCAGAATTTATTTCTCTTATCTAACTGAAACTTTGTACCTGTTGATGGGTTTGAGCCATAATCCTGAAAAACGCAATCTTAAATGCTGTCATCCCAGATGTTGAAGTCCCGAAAGATCAAAATCCCTGAAGTCTAAAATCCCAAAAATATAATTCTGGAAAAAATAATTTAAAAAATTTAAAGACATGTGTTCACATTTCTAAAGGGAATTTATTTGAAAAACATATAAAAACACAACAGAACACTTCATAGGCCATTGTATACAATAAAATAGGCATCAATAACATACGTAGATTTGCAAACATGAGCACTCAGGTATACTAACGACAGTTGCAAGAGTATAACAATTATGAGCAGAAAAACCATACTCATAAAGAAGTATGTCAAAGAGCAAAATGTATAAACATACATCACTATGGTTGGCAATTGCGTGCACCCAGCTTTTTAACATCTGAAATTCAGTCATCTGAAATGCCATTACAGACAAGTTATGTCTTTTGACAAGATTGATCAAAAACCATGATAGGTCACCACTACATATACAGTCTCCCAAACAGCCAAGATCTTAAGAAATTTTATATTTTATAAATGCAGATGTATAAAAAGGACATCTCTTCATTTATCTCTTCATTTTTATGTGCACGCACAATGATTACACACAGTCGATCATGCACTTTCATGGAATCAAATCTGCAAAAAATGCATAAAATGAATTAGAATTCTAAAAATCTTTATACAATTTATACATCTAGTACTGAAAATGATGCAAAGATGAAATACATAGCATAGCAAATTGGCGCTGTGAAGAGGCAGAAGTCATACATAGTTGAATAAGTTGGCAGGGGAGATTTCTTGCATTTTTTGCCTGTGTTGTCACTTGTGTGATCTTCAAATCAGTTTCTGCATTTGTATTTGGAGAGTGGTTGTGGTCTTCAAATTTTGTAAGCATATGCTGTAAATGTAAAGAAGTCTCGTTATTGCTTGCTTGTTGCAATTAAGTGATTTTCCGCTTTTGAAGCACCAATAATAATTAGCTTTTAAACTTTCATCTTTCACCATTAAGTAGCCTTGTATATTTAATTTATCATAGCCTTTTGGCAAGGGAACAATGTTACAGATTTCTTTCACGTGTTATAAGGAATATAGTAAGAAGAAATAATACTTTGCTTCCTCAATACCAAATCTGTATTAGTCAGAGTTCTCCAGAGAGACGTAACCAATAGGATATGTGTATTAATATAGTAGAGGAGGTTTATTAGGGGAATTGGCTCACGCAATTATGGTGACTGAGAAGTCCCATGACAGACTCTCTGCATGCTGGAGACCCAGGGATGTTGATAGAATAGCTTAGTTCAAGTCCAAAGGTCTTAGAACCAGAAGAGTCAATGTTATAACTCAGTTTGAGGCCAAAAACGTCAGGCCCCAGAGGGTCCCTAGTGTAAATCCTGGAGTCTTAAGGGTGCCACGCCTGGAGTTCTGATGTCCAAGGCAGCAGAAAAGTTTGCGCCAGCTTTCAGAGAGAGACCAATTTGCCTTCTGTATTTGTCCTCTCTGGGTCCCAGTCAATGGGATGGTGCCCATCAACACTGGGAGCAGACCTTCCCCACCTGGTCTACTCACATTCACACACTCATCTCGTCTGAAAACATCTTCACAGCCACACCCCAAATCATGCTTTACCAGGTTTCTGAGTATTCCTCAATCCAGTCAAGTTGACACCTACATTTAAGTCCACAAGACCACCCCTTTTAACCTTAGCATCCATATGTATTTCATTAAATCATACTTAATTTCCAAATAAAGACAATAACAAGCTAATAGTTCCCCCAACATGATGCAACTAACACGATGCAACTATCCCACATACAACTGAAAATACACTAACCCCTTCCCCAGAATTTGGATTTTAGTATTTCAATATTCAGTATTGTGATTTTGGAGATTTTAGACATTAGAGGTTTTAGAGTTTGAGGATTTTAGACTTTAGGAATTTTGATCATTCAGGATTTCATCATTGGGATTACAGTGTGCAGAACTGTGTCTTCTTAGGTTAATTATTGGCACCACTCATTGACCAATATCTCCCTTTTTCCCATTCACCTCTGCCCCCAGCTTCTGGTAACCACTATTCAACTATCTACTTCTATGAGTTTAACTTGATTAGATACTACATACAAGTGAGATTAGATGGTATTTGTCTCTCTGTGCCTGGCTTATTTCACTTAATGTTCTCTAGGTTCATCCATGTTGTCTCAAATAACAGAATTTGAGGGCCTTTAAAAAAAAAAGATGGAATAGTATTCTATTGTGTATATATACCACATTTAAGAAATTTATTTATCCATTGATACATGATAGACACTTAGATTGTTTCCATATCTTGGCTATTGTGAATAATGCTGCAGTGAAAATAGGACTGCAGATATCTCTTTGACATATTAATTTTTATTTCTTTGGGCATATGCCCAGTAGTAGGATTGATGAATCATGTGGTAATTCTATTTTTAGTTTTTTGAGGAACCTCCATACTGTTTTCCAAGATGGCTGCACTAATTTACAATACACCAACAGTGTAGGATTCCCTTTTCTCCACATCGTCACCAGCCCTTGTTTTCTTTCATCTTTTTTATAATAGCCAAGCTAAGAGTTGTGAGGTGATATGTCATTGTGGTTTTAATTTGCATTTTTCTTGTGATTAAAAATGTTAAGCACTTTTTCGTTTTTTTTTTTTTTGGTCATTGTATGTCTTCTTTTGAGAAATGTCTATTTAAGTCCTTTGCCCATTTAAAAAATGGGTTATTTATTTTCTTGTTATTGAGTAGTTTGAGTTCCTTGTGTATTTTGGATGTTAGCCCCTTGTCCAATGTATGATTTGCAAATCTTTTCTCCAAATCTGTGGGTTGTATCTTTAGTCTCTTGTTTCCTTCACTGTGCAGAGCTTTTTAGTTTGATGGAATCCCACTTGTCTATTTTTGTTTTTGTTGCCTGTGCTTGTGGGGCCATATTCAAGACATCACTTCCCAGAGCAACATCATAGAACTTGAGAAAAATAATCATTAATTCTATGGAAAATAAAAAACTGCTATAGGAAAGGAAACATATTCTTAGTACACTACATGGCCCAGCAATCAAAGCTGCTTACTTAATCACAAATGACCTAATCAAATTAGGATATAACTATTTATATCCTAACAAGTTAGGATATAATCAAATTAGGATGGAGTATGAGGGAGGATGAATGGCTGTGATAGGGCATGAGAATGAAAAAGAAAATCTCTTGCTTTCATAATGGGATAGCAGCATGATGTCAACCACTAAAACAAACTATAAACAGACAAGAAACAATACAAATATGTCATTTAGAGACATAGCAATAAATCCCAAATAGTCAGCTAAAAAGAGCTGAAAGTTACTTCTGTGGGGAAGGGAACAAAAGATTGCCTTCTAGGACTTTTTGTCTCTTCTAATGATGAACATATATAACTATAAAATATCAAATATAAAACATATATAACTAAAAAATATAAAAATAAAAGTGACTAGTAATAACAAAAAGCAAAGAGAAAGCCTATAAAAAGCCATTGGAGTGAAAAGCTCAAGAGATGGATTAAAATAAGAATAGACATAAGTCTCTATGGAGTTTTTTGGTTCAATAAGTAAAGTAGGGAAAATTAGAATGAGATCATGTGGAGCAAGGACCTTGACCAGGAAACCGAGGCCTGCTGTGCAGAGTAGGGAAATTTCTAAACCAGTTACCACTGTCCAGCCCCCTTCTACAGTCTGGCTAAAGTAGCAAGAGGGAGGGAGGAAGGGAGGAACCGAGGGCAGCCAGTAGTGCCACCTTCTCTCCACCTTTGGAGAGGGACTTGATTTCCAGCACCACCTCCCTGCCCTGCCCACACCAACAATAACCATTAATGTTCCAAGCATTTTACATGTATTAATGTATTAGCATTTCATCCTCACAATCATAGTATAAGGTAAGTATTATTACTCTCTATAATTAAAACTAAGGTCCACAGAATTAAGAAAGAAATTTGGGTTAGTTCTCTTTCCCATCTTGCAAGATGGCAGGCGAAAAAGTTGAGAAGCCAGACACTAAAGAGAAGAAACCCGAAGCCAAGAAGGCTGATGCTAGTGGCAAGGTGAAAAAGGGTAACCTCAAGGCTAAGAAGCCCAAGAAGGGGAAGCCCCACTGCAGCCGCAACCCTGTCCTTGTCAGAGGAATTGGCAGGTATTCCCGATCTGCTATGTGTTCCAGAAAGGCCATGTACAACAGGAAGTACTCAGCCGCTAAATCCAAGGTTGAAAAGGAAAAGAAGGTTCTTGCAACTCTTACAAAACCAGTTGGTGGTGACAAGAACGGCAGTACCCGGGTGGTTAAACTTCGCAAAATGCCTAGATATTATCCTACTGAAGATGTGCCTTGAAAGCTGTTGAGCCACGGCAAAAAACCCTTCAATCAGCACGTGAGAAAACTGCGAGCCAGCATTACCCCCGGGACCATTCTGATCATCCTCGCTGAATGCCACAGGGGCAAGAGGGTGGTTTTCCTGAAGCAGCTGGGTAGTGGCTTGTTACCTGTGACTGGACCTCTGGTCCTCAATCGAGTTCCTCTACGAAGAACACACCAGAAATTTGTCATTGCCACCTCAACCAAAATCGATATCAGCAGTGTAAAAATCCCAAAACATCTTACTGATGCTTACTTCAAGAAGAAGCTGCAGAAGCCCAGACACCAGGAAGGTGAGATCTTCGACACAGAAAAAGAGAAATACGAGATTACAGAGCAGTGTGAGATTGATCAGAAAGCTATGGACTCACAAATTTTACCAAAAATCAAAGCTGTTCCTCAGCTCCAGGGCTACCTGCGATCTGTGTTTGCCCTGACGAATGGAATTTATCCTCACAAATTGGTGTTCTAAATGTCTTAAGAACCTCATTAAATAGCTAACTACAAAAAAAAAAAAAAAAAAGAAAAGAAAGAAATTTGGTTAAGGGCACCAGGCTGGGAAGTGGAAGTTTTGGGATTTGAACCCATGTGGTCTGTCTTTGGAGTTCACATTCTCAACTATTGTGCTACAATGCATCTTGCTACACACACACACACACACACCTGAAGTCTTTGGTAAAATAGCAAGGAGTTTATCTTTGAAAACAAGAATTCCTTCTATATCACAAATGAGAGTAAGCTGAAAGCAGAAGGAACTGAGGAATGCATAATTATCCATTCATTTCATTTATTCCCTGCCTCATTTTCAAAAAAGGTATGAATCAGCTTCCAAAAATATCGTATATAGTAAGTAAAAAAAAAAAAAAATGAGGAAACATTTTAAAAATAGACTCAAAGAAAGTGGATAAATAAATGTGCCAACTGAAAAATTCAAGAAGGTTGCTGTATCTGAAAATAACACCTGTACATGAGCTTCCTGGCAGCCAAGATAAAGAAAGAAATGTAAGCAATTGCACAACTCTCATTATAAAATAGGAGATAGTTGTTGAACATTTATGTGATGTGCAAGTTAAGTACATGATAGAGGAGGAATAGCAGGCAGAATATCATGTAATTAGTTATATATTGAGTTGCTGTGATTTTGGAGAAAGTTACCACTTTTCTTTCAATAATTAGGAAAATAAATTTGGAAAGGCCTCACATGACCCTTATGCTTGCCTTGAAGATACGTGGACTGTTTTTAGGTTCACAACACTAAAATCACAACGCAGATTGCTGTCATGTCATTAGAGCCATCCTTATGATGAATCAAGCTAATGCCAGGTGAATACGGAAACCAACCAGCAGAGGTCTGCAGGGACATAAACCCAGACCTGGAAAAATGGAATGTAAATGTGTTTCCCATGCTCATGGGGCTTGTTGGCCAACTCCACTTCCTCTGATGTGCAGAGGAATTGATCGTGCAGATTTTATAAAGTGTGGTGTTCTTAAGTTGAACT